CGTTCGTGGCCGCTGTGACCGGTCACCCCGGGATGGGTCAGTCCCGGGATCTCGGCCGGTCGTTGGCACTGTTGACCGTCTGTTTCACGTGGCTCTTGGTTTCCCGGGTTGTGCGGCGCCTTGACCGAAACTGGATGTGAAACCCTAATATTTCTGCTGGGCTGGTTCAGGCCCGATTGTTGGACTTGGACCCGTTCTTTAAACCTGAAATGAGATAAACGAAATAAATAAATATCAAATAAAAAAAGAAAAAGAAATATATATATATATATAAATATATTTTTTAAAATTATATTTTATATGATTTTAAAAATGGTTTTCAAAACCATATAATATAATATATTTGAAAAAATATTTTAAATTTATATATTTTCAAACATGTTTTTGAAAAACTATATAATATAATTGTTTTCATAAATATTTTTTCCAAAATAATATATTATATAAGTTTTCAAAATGATTTAAAAAACTATATATTATATATATTTTAAAAAAAATTCAAAAATTATATAATATATAATTTTCCAAAAATGTTTTAAAAACTATATATTATATAATTTTCGAAAATGTTTTAAAAACTATATAATATATATAGTTTCAAAAAAATGTTTTAAAAACTATATATCATATACGTATTTTCAAAAATCATTTGTAAACTATATATATATATATGTATATATAAAAAATGTGGACGAAAATTAGTGTCTACAATATTGCCTTCAGAAATTGCTCATATTTTTAGTATAATTTAACACGATATCGATATCTCATTAATTATACTGCCACTAAAACTCAAAAATGCAGTCTTCACCCAAGAAATCATTCAAAAATGGCTCTAAATATTATGTTTTAGACCCTAAATGGTTCCTAAACTTCTTGGCACTAATAACACATAAGTTTTTATTTATTCAGCGAATGTAATTATAAGGTAATATTTGTTCTAAACACTCTCAACCATTTGACAATTAATGTCCAATCACCTTGCAGTCGCTTGTGCTCGAACCCATTGCTTTTAGGAACAACAACAATTCTTTTAACTACTCAAATTATTATGTCATGCTTATCAATAAATAAATAAAAGAAAGAAATTCAAACTACGTACATTTAACCTATAAACATCAAATTTGTGATCTTAGAAGATCTTACAAAAAAAATCAAAGGAAACTCGTTGCTCATCTCTTTAAATTTTATCGTTCTCTTTTTCTCCCGAGGTTAAACAAGCATAAAACGAGTTCATATAACAAACAGAGGGAATAAAAGGTAAAATTATGAATTTACAACATAAAAACAAATTAAAAGTAATTGAAAAAGCTTTCAAAGTCTAAACACTTGTTAAATTTCAAGTTAAATTTTAATTACTCCTTACAAAGATGATGGACTTTGCTTGAAACTCTAGAGATGGAGATAATTTTATCATTCTTAATTCCAGGAGATCGATTAAACTTAAAAAGTCTTGTCATTCGTTATTGATAGAAAAGAGAGCAGAAAAAAAGGGAGAAATAGGCGAATATGAATGGTCCATAGATGAAACTCTAAGCCAACACAAATCTTTTATTAGTAGTGCATGCAAAGTGGCACTTTCCTTATTTTAAACCATCTCTCTCTTTATAGCTGCATTGAGTCTTGCCCTCAAAAGTGGCGTAGCGCTGCTCGGATCAATCGTAGCCACCGTCGTGTTCCGGTATTTATATTCACCGCGTCAGGCTTGGGGTTTGATGTGTCCAGAAGCGATTGGTAAAAATTCCAATCTATTTATCGTCGTTTGAATAATGTCAATATAAACCTACAATCAACAATGATTCCAATCATGTACTTCTATTTGTTATTACGATAAAAATAAAGTTCAAGGGTACATAAACTCATCTACTTTTAGAAAAGCCATTAAATTTTTTTTTATATTTAATTAAATATTAATTTTGAAAAATTAATTAATATGATATTTTAACCAATGAAAATCATTATTAATCATTACAATGTTAATGTGGTAGTTTATGGTGCTTATATGTCGGGCCATGTATAAATGATAATATAAATATGTTTAATTGATTTTTTAAAATGTATGAGGGCTAATTAATTTACTATAAAGTTCAAGGATTTTTTATCTTTAAATTTAAAAAATAAAAATAAAAATAATTTAAAATATTAAAATATTAAAAAATACTAAAAATTAAAAAATTATTAAAAAATTAAAATCTATAAAATATTAAAATATTAAAAAAATAGAATACCTTCATTGAAAAAAAAAAATACTCGACTGTCCTTTTTTAGCAAAGAAATCTTGGTTTATTAATAAAAGCAAACAACTTACTATAGATCAAATAATCTTCGGTTTGTCTCTCTTCAACATGAGTTTATTATCATTATTATTATAATGTAAGGTTGGTTTCATTGAAAATATATTAAGGAATAACAATAGATTCATGTTAACGAGTGATAGTCAAATATTTGTATGATAAAAATGTTTAATTTATTAATATTTTATAAATAAATTTAAATTTTGATTTTTTTTATAATTTTAAATTTATCATTTTATAGATTTTGTTTTTTTAAAATTTTTAATTTTATATTTATTATTTAATTTTTATATATTTAATAGTGTTCTAATTTTTGTAATTTTATATTTTAAATTTTAAATTTTAAATAATTTCTTAATTTTATTTTATTTTCTTAAATATTAAATAAATACTCAAACTTTACAAAAAATCAATTAAACCCTCAAATCTTTTTAAAGAATAATTGATTTCAGCCATCATATTATCCTTTACATATATATATGGACCATCTTATTAGTAGTGTAGACCATTATATCAATAATGTAATGGTCAAGGGTGATTTATGTAGGTCAAAAGATCACAATAATTAAATTTTGGGTTCAAAAGTTTAATTAAGTAAAACATATTAAAAATTAATTGATTTTCTTCAAAAGAATATAAAACTTTTCCTAAAACTAATATAAAAAAGGGTAAAGTACATAAATGGTCCTTTGACTATGTAATACTACTTTGTTGAGTCCCTCGACTATTAGAAGTTATAAAATGGTCCTTCGACTATAGGGCGATGCTTTGTTGAGTCCCTTGACTATTAAAAATTATAAAATGGTCACTCGACTATTAATATTTTCCAAACTCGTCCTTTTTCGTTAAAAATTTGGTGGGCGTCTGAGCTAGAAGTTAACCTGTTAACTGAGATATAATAAAATCTTATTTTAAAACCATTTGAATTGTATAGTTGTTTCCGGAATAAGATTTTATCATATCACATTCAATAGGTTAACATACAGTTCAGACGACATCGATTTTTTAACAGAAAAAGACGAGCTTGAAACATATGAATAGTCGGGTGTCCATTTTGTAACTTATAGTTGGAAGACTTAATAAAACAACAACTTATAGTTGGAAGATCATTTTTGTAACTTATAATAGTAGAGTGACTCAACAAAGCAATACCTTATAATCGAGGTACCGTTTAAGCACATTACCAAAAAAAAACAGATAGGATCCATTGGAAAATTAATCGTGGGTTTAGTGTGATAGATATTAAAAAAAACTGGAATAACATTAAATTGATACATACCTTATTATGTGTGTATTTCATATTGCTCCAAGCAACAACCCACCTAATATTTCAGCAGATAGTATATGCAACACCACCTTTAGAATCTCCAGTTTGGGAATCGGATTGGTGCTTAATTTTCTCTGACATTTGTGCTGGAATAACCAATGGACGATTTGCAAATCCATACCAATCAATCTCGTCATACAAGGTGAGATCTTCATTGCTCCAGTTCTCAAGACTCACATCTGTATATATTGCAGGCCCCGGTTTATCCCCCATCACATGTGCATGTATCACATCTATACGTCGATTTATCTCGTTTAATCTTTGATCAACATATTCTCTCATGCTATGGAACTCCTCTTTGGTAACGTTCTCTTGATCTTCTCCTCCTGTTTGAGAATCTGCAGTTCCTTGGGTGTTTCCCATGGTGAAAAACCCTAGCTCGGATGTGAAACTGATACGAGATGGGGAGATGGGAAGAAGAGTTGTTTCACGAATGGCTTAATGAGAAAGGTTGCTCATAGCAAAGCTTGAAAATAATATCAGCGAAAGCTAGGATTATTTACTATGACTACGGGAGGAACTTGTTGATTAAATATTTTTTTCAATAACATAATAAGTTCTTTACTAAGCTAGGTGTAGGGGCAAATACAAGATTTTATTTTAAGGGTGTGAATTTTTAAAAATATATATATTAAAATTTCATGGAGTTTGAAATTACAAAATTTTAAGAAGTACGAAATTTTCAACGCGATAGTCCTAACACCCCAATCCATTTCCGATTAGGTGTTGTATTATCTCACTTATTATATGATCACAATCTTTTTTAACTATTAACAACATAAATCTCAAATCTCAGTTGCTCAAACCCAATGCCTTAAAGAATAACTCCTTTAACGACGGAGGTCACTTGATGAATTGACTCACTCATTTTTAATATTGTGGTTGTTATAACTATATTGCAAGACTAAATATTTCGATATTCACATGCATGATGCACATGCTGATTTTTGTTTAATTACGAGACATGTGGCCGTTACAACTGTTTTCCCCCTTTTTTTACTGTATAAAAGACTGTAAATATTTTAATATTAGCTTTGTATCATGTTTGATCAGCTTATTTTTCATGAATTATTTAACTACCATTAACATCTTCCGCAATTATTTATTTTCACATAGTTTAATGACCAATTGTGAACTTTACCCTTTATATGATATCACCTGCTAAATGATTAATTATTCGTGTCTAGAATTTGTATCGATACATGGGTACGAAATGTGAAATATAACCTCCAAGACCCTATGAATGAATGAAAAAAAAAATACACAAATCTAACCATGTCTTGAATTAATACTCATATCCGATATTCACACCCAAATCCGAATAGAATCACCCAAATAAAGGGATTTCGCTATCGAAAAAGCTTTCAACGCAGCCTAATATCCTTTTCGAATACGTTTTTATAGACGGAGAAGTATGTTTTAAAACAAAATAAATTGATTGGCATTAGATGTAATCAGGATATATTTGCATTCTTCAGAGATTTGCAGACTACTACACCTGCAGATGTCTGCATCAAGTGCTCCCCAAGCATTGCAGTACAAGAAGCATCTGTTTTAAGCTGAGGCTGCACCGATTCCCAAATCTTTTTCTTTTGAACCTGCACAAATTTGAATATGTAGTAATTGGAAAACTTTGTATGGATGCCGGAGCTGGTGTTACTCCTGTATCCTATTTCTCTGTGTCAGATACAAATGTCCAACATTATTACTTCATAATAAAAACGGAAGTCGGGGCAACATAGGTTGATGCAGAATGAATGGCATAGTCCAATGAACCCAATACTCTCATTGGAAGCTTCAAACCTTTAGCTTTCTCCTGTTTTTAGGTTGAGGCTAAGTTATGCAAAAAGGGTCCAATAGGATTAGCAATATGCCTATAACTATTTCAACCATGACTTTCTCCAATGCTATTAATACTAGGGATGAAACTGAGTGGAGTTGAGCACAAGAAGTTCAAAGCTAAGCTTGATCAATTTCCACCTTTAAAGTTCAAGCTCAATTCAAGATCAAAATCAAACCGCTCTAGCTCGATGGATTAAGCACGTTTACTTTTTTACTTGGTGAACTAAAAAATAAGTAAGATTCTCATGCTCAACTTCAAACACGGTTGTTTATGCTTGATCCCAAATTCAAATTTTAGTTTTAAAAAACTAATTAAATACATATTAAAACTTTAATTAAAAAACTCAATTAGGCTTAGAAACTACTCAAGTCAAGCATTACCGTCCTCAAGTAGCTTGTGAGACCGAAGTCCAATGTATAACCCTAATTAAATACCAAGCGGTCCAAGCCGAACAAGTTCAATATCAGGGATGCATGAATGGATGCTACTGCCAACTTGACCCACGTTTGATCCCTCAGTTACTAATAGGAGTTAATGTAGGAGATTGTGGTTCTTCAAGAGTTGAGAATGAATGTATATTCTAAATCAAAAGGGAGTTTAGTTTTCAACCTCAGATCCTTCAAAAAGGAACAGCATGTTTAACATTGTAAATTAATTTCCAATTCTTCCACAATATTTCTAGCAGTGAAATGAGAATAGATTCTTGCAGTCATATTTTTTTTTCTCCAACTATGCAAGTTCTTCCATAAAATAATACAAGTCTAGATGTCCATTAATTTCCAATTCTTCCTCAATATTTCTAACAGAGAAGTTAGAATAGATTCTTGCAGTCATATTTTTTTCCTCCAACTATGCAAATTCTTCCATAAAATAATTCAAGTCTAGATGTCCAAATGACGGCCATCATCATCATTCATTAATTTCTCATTAAGTTCACCTAGAAATACCAAATTTTGTCTTAACTCTCAAGCATACATCTTTATCATCAGATTCAGCCATTGCTAAAAAAAGGATCAGGCCAGACTGTTCGAAACTGTTGAATTAGGATCTAGTGGTTTGTCCAGTTCGGTATATAGCATTAAACTAGGAGTTCCGAAATCAGCTAATAATCAGTTGAATCAGAAATCATTGTCCATTCTGTTCAGTATATACATTAAACTGGGAAACCAGACCAGATTGGGTGAACCAGTTGAACTGGGAACTAGATGTGTTTCTACAGCTTCAATTTCTGTTTTATTCAATGGGGTTCCATCCGAGGAGTTTCCAATGGCCAAGGGTCTTAGACAGGGATGTTCACTCTCACCTTTATTGTTTAATCTAGTTGGGGAATTACTGAATCTATTAATTCGAAGGGCTGTTTCTGAGGGATTATTTTTTGGTATGACAGTTGGCAAGGAAGAAGGGTCCTTTAATCTTACGCAATTGCAGTTTGCGGATGACTTAATTATTTTTTGTGGAGCTTCGAAGACTCAAATTATGAATGTGAAGAGGGTTCTTAGAGTATTTGAAGTTATGTCAGGGCTGCAACTGAACCTTAAGAAAAGCATATTGTTCGGGATTAATATTCCCCAACAGGAGGTTAAGACTTGGGCAGATTCTATTGGTTGTACAGTGGGAAACTTCCCCTCTAATTATCTAGGCCTCCCTCTAGGTGCTACTAAGAATTCCTCTGTTATTTGGGAACCAGTGGTACAGAATTTTCACTCTAAATTAGCAGGTTGGAAGGCTGCTACTCTATCTTTAGCAGGGAGATTGGTTTTGATCAAATCGGTTCTTTCCTCACTGCCTACGTATTTTTTATCTTTGTTCAAGATTCCAGCTTCTATCCTTAAGTCTCTAAATTCAATTCTGTCTAATTTTTTATGGGGAGGGGGAAATGGTAATAAGAAGATACACTGGGTTAAATGGGATGATGTTTGCAGATCAAAGAATGAGGGAGGTTTGGGAGTTCGGAATCTGATTTGTATGAACAGGGCACTGCTAGAGAAATGGTCTTGGAGGTTTGCAAATTAGAGAAGTTCTATTTGGAGGAATTTTATTTGTAGCAAATACAACATTGATTCTTCTAGATTACTGTTTGATAGCAAGATTTCTACTCAATCTTCCTGGTTATGGAGATCAGTGGTTAATAACCATTACAAACAAGACTCCTTTGGTTCTAAGTTTCGTAGTTTGTGCAATTTTCACGTTGGAAATGGTAAGCATGTTCGATTTTGGCAAGACAGCTGGGCTGCTGATTTTCCGTTTCAGATTATGTTTCCTAGACTATTTTCGCTTTCTACTAATAAATACGGTAAACTTTGTGAGTTTGGGGAATTTCTTTCTTCGGGTTGGATTTGGGATGTTCAAGTTCGAAGAAATTTAAATGATTGGGAGCTTGAACAATGGTGTAATTTGGTGAGCATCATTTCTTCTTTTTCTCTATCTCTTGATTCTAGAATTGGTTTGATTTGGAAAGGTAGTGGGGACGGTGTTTATACAGTCGGTTCTTGTGTTGAGAAGTGTGGATCAGGTTCAGAAGATGTTCATTTCTGGAATAAAATTGTTTGGAGAGGATTGGTTCCCCCTAGAGTTGAAACATTAGTGTGGCAAATTGTGCTTCACAAAATTGCTGTTAAAACCGAATTGGTTAAAAGAGGTGTTCAAGGTATTGAGGATGAGTTATGCCCTCTTTGTAGAATGGTTGAAGAAACTTCATCGCATCTATTCTTTTCTTGTTCGGTTGCGTGGTCTTTGTGGAACAAATTTCTAAATTTTTGGAGGTTTAGTTCTGTGTTTCCTGCAGAAGCAAAAAGTTTTCTTCTAGCTTGGGATGAGTTGAAATCCAATTCTGCAATATGAACTTTCATTCCTGGGGCTGTTATTTGGTCAATCTGGAAAATCAAAAATTTTATTGTTTTTGAAGGGGGAAAGCTTGATCAGTCTGAATTATTTTTTTTAACAAGAGTTAGGCTGGCCTCTTGGTTTCTAGCAAAGAATAAGGATGTTTCTATTACTAAGGACTCTTTAATTTCTGATCCTTCTATAGGAGATTCCTATTCGTCCTACAATTTCTTGAAGTCTTCTATAATCCCTTGGTTACCTCCCCCTATGGGTTTCGTCAAGGTAAATGTGGATGCAACCACTAGCAGTGATTGGAAGGAATCAGGTCTTGGAGGTCTTATGAGGGATCAATCTGGTGCAATCCTAGGTTCTTTTCAGGAGCCTGCTGGTTCAGGACCTCCAACATTGAATGAACTTAAAACTATTCAAAGGGGTATTTCTTTCTTTGCCTCTTTTCAATGGAGGGTTAAAGATAGGCTGATCGTTGAGAGTGATTGCAGGGTTGCAGTAGACTGGATAAATAATGTTGACTCATGTCCAATTGTATATGGTTTTATTGTTAGAGATATTGTTGATAGTCTTAGAACTTTCGGGGGGGGTTGTTAGATGGGTTGCAAGGACAACGAATATGGATGCTGATGGTTTAGCAAAGGCTGGTATAGGTTGATTTTTATGTTGTTGGCTTCTTTAGTTTGGTTTTCTGGCTCCTGTATTGTTTGTAAGGGTTTTTTGGAATAGTTGTTCCAATGTTGTAATTCTATTTTCTATATTGAAATTATAAGGCACTCTTTTCCTCCTTCAGATGATTAAGAAGCTTTTATACAAGCTCCATTAATCAAGAAGGAGGTTTTTAATGAGGCCTTCAAATCTTATAAAAATATATATATATATAACATCAAACTGGGAGATTTTGAACGGAACAAAATGGTCCATTAGGTTTGACCTCTGGTCTAGCTTAGTAAACATTTAGATTCAGCAATCAACAAAGGCGTATTTACTATGTAACAAGCTAAACAACAACTTAGGGGTTGTTTGTTTGCCTCTAAATGGAGACATTCAACGCATTTGTTTCGCACCTCTGAATGATTCAGTGTTGATTGATTCTACAAAACAGTGCTGAATGATTCAGCACAGATGACAGAAGTACATTCTGAATGATTTATAGTCATTATCAAACAACATGTCACATTCAGAACTAATTCATACAGACCGTTTGAATCATTCAAAGCTTAATCATTCTGAAGTAAACAAACAGCCCCTTAGTTCCACACACACAAACATAAGGCACCAAATGTCAAAAGTTCAGATAAGAATAGAAGTGAAGCCTATGATACCTGGTTAGCAGTAGCAGGTTCAGGTTGGCCATCTTTATCATCTTCTGTCCCAAACCATATTCTCTCACCGGGAACTGCACCGTCGGGGGGCATAAGAAGCTCAACATTCTCATGCGCCGCATCGGAAGCCGCCATTAGCATTCCATTAGACTTAACACCGCGCATGTTCCTCGGCTTCAAATTAGCAAGCACCACAACTTTGGCATCCTGAAGGAGTTCCAAAGGAATGTACTTAACAAGCCCACTGCAGATTATTCTGGGTTCAGGCTCGCCTACGTCGACCTCTTCCACGTAAAGCGAATCGGCTTCCTCGTGCCTCCATGCTTTGAGTATTCGGCCAACCCTTATGTCGAGCAGGTTGGCTGCATTCCTTATATCGTCCGTAGACTGAGCATTAACAACCTCCGTAGACGGCGGTGCTGTGGGGGTGGCCTCCACGTTGACGTCCGGAGACGCACAGAACGAGCGGAGACCTCCGAGAACAGTGGGATTACAAGGCGAAATCAGGGGTTTTAAGCTTCGATTCGTCGGATACGAGTGAGTGAGTGGATTAATCTTGCAATTGCGGAGGAGGGGAAGTGATAGGGTACTTACAGATAATCCCCGCAGACCAATTGTCATCGCCGCCATTGCAATTTATAGCAGCGAATCAACCTGGAATGATGGGAAATAATACTTAATCGATATCAATCCCTGCGAAAAATAAAGAATCTCGTAAATAAAAACAGACCCAACAAATGAAAAGGATAATTTACCAAGACGATGAGGGTGAAAGAGACAATCTGTTAGAAGTCTGCCGTTGAAGTGAAACGTTGGAGAACTTATTAGTTTAACTCAGTCGAGTGGACCTCAAGCTGCAACTTATATTTGTTGATAAAATAAGGGAAGCATACACTAATTTATATAAATTAAATTATTATCATTATAATATAAATATATTATAATATAAATTTTTATTTTTTTTATTTATTTAAAAATAATAGCGATAAATTTATTATTAAGACATATTTTTAAAGGAATTTGAAGGGTTTTAGACTATGTTTATGAAATTTGTGACATTTTTATGAAAATTATATTGGACTCTCATTCATAAAGTAAAAAATGAGTTAATTAAAAATTTTAAGGTTTAACATTAATAGAAGACATCAGTAGATGGTGACTAACAACGATAATGAGTAGCGATCGACGATGAGAACTTTGACTGGATTTAAGGGTCAAATTGATATTTTATTTAAAATTTATGAGTTCAATTAGTACTTTATATAGAATTTAAGGTAAATTAGCATTATGTATAAATTTTAGAGATTGAGTTAAAATTAATTATTTTTACAAACATATAATGGGATTAAAACTTAGTGATAAAAATAAGACAAATCAAAATAAAAATGATTATAACATGATTTTTTAAAAATTGATGACCAAAATAAGATAAATTGAAAACAAAAGGCACTACCAATATAATTTACCCGAAATTCATATATAGTTTATATATTAATCCTAATATGTCTTATAAATGCAATTTGAATTCCATTTGAGCTATAATTTTGCATGATGTATGTATGCATGTTGAATTAATGTATGATAATTTAAGTTTTAAATTTTAGGATTTTTTTTCGTGTGTTATATGTGAAAAGTTAAAAATACTTTTAAGTATGTTTATCTGATTTAGTGAGACCTTTGTATTTTTTAAGTTTGTTCTCGATTAATAATGGTAATTAATCTTATGTGATCTTATAAAAATCTAATTTTTAATTTTTAATTATGTAAAGTGAATATATATCGAGCCTTTTTTATGATTAATGTAACATTTGGTATCTGGATCGTATCATTTTGACTAAATATCAGATGTTACAAAATATGTACAACATGTATTTAAGACACATGTGAGTACGAGCACGAGTCATATGATGGAGACAATAAACATGTTTGGACATTGTCTTCAATTATTTAATAATTACATATTTAAAATACTCATTTGTTTAGATATTAATAATCAAAATATAACATCTATCACGTATTAGTTTTTACAAGTGTTTAAGAGTAATATTTTAAATATATATTCATTGAACGATTCAAAACAAGACCTACTCACGTATACAATACAATTACTATAGTCTGATCCATGCAGAATCGGTCCTAATATTTTAAGGACCCTATGCCAGGAGGTGATGACAAGAAGATAAGTGAGGCCCCACACTTAGTTTCAATCATCAAAATGAGATCCATTGGATTATCATGTTTTTAAATTTTTTAAATAAAAAATTATATTTAAAAATATTTTTTAATTATTGAAATCCACTAAATTAGAGTGTTTGAAATAAAAAATATATATTTAAAAATATTTTTTAATTATTAAATTTAAAAATGAGTTCCTCCAAACTTGGTAACATGTGTCTTAAGTATGTATCACACATATTTTTTCTTTATAAATAAAATGTATACATTTTTTTTTACATTTTGACACATCATTATTTTCTTTTATTTTTGGTTTATCTTTTATAAACTTTGACAACCGTGCAACCTTGTAGGTAAAAGGGCGATAGGGCACGTTTTCAAAAGGCGTGGCTAACACAGCACGTCTTTGTCTTGTGTTTCAAAAAAAATTATGTTATATCTATAAATAATTTTTAGTATATATGAATCAATTAATTTTAGTGATAAAATAATTATTGTTATTTGTTGAGATATCGATTTCGAGTACCATAAATGTTAAAGTCTAATGGTTGAGCGTTATTATTAAACATACACTACCTTATATTTTTTTTAAATTAATAAAAAATTGATATCATTTTAAAAAATAATTTAAAAAAATATTATTTAGGTAAAAATACTCACTATACCAACTAAAATAAGATTCAATCATTAAATTGATTCAACTTATAAAATGGACCAAATTAACTTGATTAATTTTAAAAATCAAAATAAACTTAACGGAATGTTGATAGGCTTCATCGGTGTTAATTATTCTAAAATATTTAAAATTTAACACTTCAATCAATATTTACATTTTTTAAAATAATTTCTAAATAAGAGAAGTGAGAATGATAAATTTTAGTCTTAATGGATAATGAACCTATAACTTAAGAGATGAAATGTATTAACTTAGGGTGCGTTTGGTTCACAAAATGTAAAATTACCAGGGAATAAAATTATTGGTAATATTGTATATTGTGTTTGGTTGGTTTAGCAGGAATGTAAGATTATTGTATTTGGTTAAAGGAATTAAAGATTATTGGAATGTATATTTGATCAAATTGTCCTTATTATATATTTGTTTTTTTAACAAATTGCAAAATATTTATATATTTTCTTTTAAAAAAATTAAATTCATAAAATTTATATAATTTTTTTACAGAATTGAAAATATAAAAAGGTTTAATAAGGGTAAAATTTTATTTTAACCCTTGAACTTCATATAAAATTTTAATTATAGATTTTTTGTAAATCTAAAATAGTTTAAGGATAAATTTGTAATTTAACCTTCGTAGAAATTTTATTATTCAATGACAAAATAATGATAATTTTGGAAGAAAAAAATTAAGGGCATTTTAGTTCAAAAATTCGGCAATGTAACAACCCGAATTTTTTACAAAAATAATATTTAATTGAAATTGAAGGTTAATTGTAAAAATTGGCGAAAATTGGAGACTAAATTGAAAGATTTTAAAATTTGGAGCTTGTGTTAGAGTTAAAGAAAATTCAGGGACTAAGCCCTGAATTTACCCAATAAAATAAGGTGAATTTTGGTTATATATGTTATATGCGTGGGTGGTTTTCTGATTCAAAACAGAAAACCACCACCCCAAATTTCCTTTCCCCTACGTTCGTTTCCGACCCAGATCCAGACGTCGTCCGAATTCCGATCGTCGTTTTGAAACCACCGTTGTGTTAATCATCGAGCGAGGAACAAACTTTTCAATTTAATTGAAGCGAAACGCGGCCAAACGTCGGGAATTTCCAGTCAAAGTATCGACGTTTTTTTAGCTTTATCGCCGGGAAAATCTTAAATTCACCACCGATCGTTGCTCCGTTTACAACACCTCCTGTACCATCGTGTTCCTTGTGCTGTTTTGAATTCATCGGTGTCAACCTTGTTCGCCGTAGAAGGCGGCGCGTGAGGAGGTGGAGCAGTCAAAGTTTCAGCCGAGTTAAAATCGAGCTCTCCGCCGTTCAAAAATTTGAACCGATTGTTGTAAGTATCTCGAAATCGCTCAAAATAATTTTTAGGAATTTTTTCGGGAATTTTCCGACACCGTATCACTGTTCACGCGCCGCACGCACCGCCGCAGGGAGAGTGAGCTGCTGGAAAAACCGGTTTGACCAGTTTTGAACCGGTTTGACCGGTCTGAACCGGGTTGACCGGTCTGAACCGGGTTGACCCGACCCGACCGTTGACCCGACCCGACCGTTTACCGTTGACCGTTTACTTTCTTTGACCAAAACTTAAAATGGCTTTGACCGACCCTTAAACAACCGTAAATCTTTTCCGAGTATACCTATCCTGATAGTTTTCGACGTGCCGAATCCATTTCCGCAGTCCGTTTTGCCAAATTCGAACTCGAAGGTCTCCAAATTGACGGTCAAAGTGGTTGACTTTGACTTTGACCAAGAATTTGAATTTTCGAAAAGTCATACTTTATGTTTTTCGACGTCCTGATTCCGATTCCATAATCTGTTTGGCCAAATTCAGACTCTAAATCCTCCAAATTGATAGTCAAACCCGGAAAATGCTTATATACTTAAGAATTTTAGCTTTGAACAATTAAGTAAGATTTGGGGCTGATAAATTATTATTATTTGAAGGTACACGAGACTCTCCGGATCGTTCGACAGCTCGACCCAGCTCTTCTAGATCAGTTAAACCACGTATGCCAGTATTCACCCGTAAGACCCGTAAATTTTATGATTTTAGAGATTTATTTATGTTACCCATAAGTAATATAGTGTTACTACAAAATAGGTTCGAAAACTATAGCAGAGCGTGGTGAAACCAACAATCAGTAGATCTACTATTTGAAACTATTATCGAGGTGTGTTCCCTATTTATTACTGAACTGATTTATTTGTTTTAATATGTGGTACACTGAATTCTTTGGTTACCGTATTGTTGATGCACCGATTTAATGTGATGATTTATGGATTATGACTGTTATCTGATATTTGTTTTGAAATGGTATATGTAACACCCCCAAGCCGTATCCGACCCGGATACGAGTCCGAAGTGTCACATTGACTTTTCAAACCTTGACTCTTAAGAAAAATCCCGGGAAATTTAAAACTTTATTTAAATCAAAATAAAGACTTTATTAGAGTGCTCGTACTTAATGACTTATTACATGCCAACACTTTATACATAACCAAATACATACTTTGTCAAATATTTCTGATCTGATCTTTTGGTAAGGAAAACTGACCTGTCTTGCTCCGCATCACTCCTTACTCTTCTCGAAACCTACGTGTGAAACAATCACACGCTAAGTCGAAGACTTAGTGAGGCATAACAACTTATAATGCACTTTAAAACATATATTGATACATGCATGTTCTGTTCTATCATGTTATAGAAATTCCATGCATTTTTCATATCGTATAAAATCATATCAGATTAATTGCAGTAAATACATACATACATACACATAATTCATCATTAACAGTTTATCATATAATCACATACTTTTTCAATCAAACACTATACACACAACATCATATCATTTCTATAGCATTTATCATACCACTAACTTATATTTGTTCATATCTCTGGATTAGCCCATGTACATATGTGAGAACTATCGATATGTGAGTCTATAGAGGTTGTGCACTATGCTGTCACCAC